CATCAGTTACAGGAACTAGTAATGCGAATTCATCCTTTTCTCCATCTGAAAGATGAAAAGATTCTGCTTTTAAAATAGGCCATTGCAAAGTATACAAAAGCCACAAGGGCCCTGTAATAGAATACGTAGCTTGATATTTGTTTGAGTCTTTTAGAGATATAATTTAGTAAAACACATTGATAGATACACTCTAAATAAGTCCTTTGAGGTTGTTTATTTTCTTACATTGGGGGGGGGGGTTCATCTCTTTAGTTCCAGCCTTATTTCCATCACTCTCACCATTTATCTGAATTAGCTGACACAGGATTATAACAAATTAATTCTGTGTATCTGAGAAAATGTATACAAGTTTTAGGATGGGTGGCTTAATAAGAATTCCTGTAAAAATGCATAGATGCTTAATAGTCATTACAACAAATGAAATATATTTGCAATCAAACAATATTTTTATTTATTTAACCTGTATGGAATGGGTGTTTCATCCCCTAACCAGAAAACAGCTAATCCTTCACTTCAACCTAATATGGGATTTTTCCAGATGGAAGGCTACAAAATCCTAGAGCTACACACTAATTGCTTTTCCTCTGGATCCTACAAATGGAATTGCAATAGACTTCTCACACCATGATTGATGTAGTGCTTAGTATGAATATCTATTGGGTATGCTCTGTCTACACCAGTGAAGGCAGGGAGAGGACAATTCCTTTTCTTCCTGCCTCCCTAATATCATTCCAGGCTTTACATCACAGTGGCTGGTGTTTTTTATATATCGTTTTGTCTAAAAGTGGACAGATAGATTTTTAAAGTGCCCTACTGCCCTTTTTCCATTGTCTCTTGCTGTTTTGGATTGCAAAGTGAGCAATGTAGGGAGAAAATTCACAGTTCAACCCAGCAATTTCTTTGTTGTTACAAGATGCAAAGGCTTCCTGCTGTTCTTATCCAAGAGGATCAGAGAAATAAAACAGCTCTGAACTAGCTTTCCATCTTCTCTTGTCCAAAAACTCTGGTCTGTGAAAGTCACCAGAGATTAGGTTGCTATTTCAGATTTCTTCCTTTCATTGTCTGGGAAGCATTTGCACACCTGTGGTAGGAAAAAAAGGCCTTGGTGCCACCCATGCATCTCCCCATTTTGAGGGTACTAAATATTACATCTTTGCAAAGGATTTTAATGAGATGCTTTGTAAAAGTCCAACAGTAGCACAAGCAAAGCACCCATCTTTGAATCATGGAAGCAGCTATGTCTTTTTCAGACGCAAGTGGCTGTTTCAAAAGCTCTTCACAACTGTCTCCACAGTATACATATGTTGACATATACAATCCCTTTGTCAAATCAAGTATGCAGAGACAGCAGGAAGAAGCCTCCTAAGTAACTGTGCAAGCCTGGAAAAATGTGTGGCTGCCTTAGTAATCCAAGCAGAGGCTGAATTTCTTACATGTTTCAAAGTACCATTTTGAAAGGTTATTCACATCCCTACTAAGAATTACAGGTAGACCTTGATTAACAACTGACCTGTAAGCAACTATTCGGTCTTAAGGCCACACTAAAAATGTAGCTTTATGACTGGCCCTTAAAAGCATTGCAGTGTCCCACAATCATGTGATTATGAGCTTCACAGCCAACTTCTGACACTCAACGGAGAATCTGGCAGTAAGTTGTAAGCCTCGGTCATGTGATGTGCTTAATGTTTGTAGGCAATAGAATATGTTCCATTAACGACAGTAATGGAACTGATGTCATAAGACAGGTAAGATCACATGACATTTCACTTAATGCCCATGTCACCTAGTGGCCAAGTGCTAGTCCCAATTGTGGTTATTAAGTGAAGTCTACCTATATTAGCTCTAAAGGTTTTACATCTGATGCTTTGCTTGTATAATTCTATTCCGCTGAAATTTCAGATACATTTTTTTAAATCAAGTTACAAAGTAAAGTTGTATAGTTCAGTTGCTAGCCAAGTGTAAAATTTAATGTTACTGCTAAGAACCATAGCTGCTTCAAATCATCGAGATGCTTTAGTAAGCTGCTAAATTAGTGCATGCATAATTTAGAACTGGATAGTATTATGTTGTTGTTGCTGTTGTTGTTATGCTGCCCAACTCCCTGTAATTCTGAGTAGTTAAAAGACATAAAAATTGCCTACGTGACACCAGAAGTGCCAAGGTCTATTGAGCATTTCTTTTGGTGCTACTAGATTCTCTCTTCACACGATTTTTTTCTGCTAGTTTCTGGCATCACATTTGCAAGGGAATTTTATTTTATTTTATTTGAAAAATTGTAAAAGATGGATGGCTACAACCCAGTTCTTTGCTTAGAAATATGTTCACCAGACTAGGAAAAGAACAAATCTAAGCTGAGATAATTTGGAGCATCCTGCAGAAGGGAGGGAGAGATAGAGGGGCTGACAGATAGCATCATCCTGAATCAGACCTTTCTTTACATCCTCATGGCTGTCATTCTGTGCATGCATGTCCTGAAACCAGCCATTTTGTGAAAGAGCCCTCAGGTTTTCAAAATTCCAGAAGGGCTCACCAGCTCAGAAAGTTTCAGGACTATGCTTGAGAATGTTTAACAGAAATAAGAGGCAAATCTAGATAAGAGAATCAAATTATGTTGGCTTGCCAACACAACATTCCCCAAAGCAGGAATGAGGCTGAGCAAAAATAGTGATTGCATGCTATTCTCCATTTCCCTTTATAATTAAGGTTTTATGATTCGCAAATAGGAAGAAACAGTGCTAGGAAAATCTAGGGGAACTGTAAGAAGTTGATTATATTATGTTCATGCATCACCTTTTGCATGTGAAATGTAGTTAAGGGCAATTTATATATCCAGGTACTAGCATGTTTGAATCTTCTATTTCCTAATTAATATTTGCTGCATTCTAGTGTAAAGAGAACTAAACCCTCAGTGAAATCATCAATCAAGCTTACTTCCAGATAAGCATATAGATTTGGGGGCTTCGTGAGATTTAATATAATTCCTTCTTTTAAAAGTATTTCTAAGCCTTTGATGTTTTATAGTGAGAAGATATCTTAGCACTTTTATGCTTTTTCTGAAAGGAGAAGCTTAATTAGTAGTGATATTGGATGATTATTTTTCAAGATACAAAGCAAAATTCTAAAGAAGTTTTGATAAATCAGTTTAGGAGTGAGAGCATCTGTTGGTATTTATTTTATATCTGTGTTATTAGAAAGGAGCTGATGAAACTTTTTGCAGCTTTTTAGGCTCTTCCAAGCTAAAATGCCTAGTGGTAAGAACAACAATTGGGAATATGTTCAAGACGTCAAAATAAAAATTTATTTCAGGCTGGACTCTATGAAAAGACTGACAAGACTGAGTACATGGTACTATAATGTGGTTTATTGATATTGGGCACGATTCTATGGCCCTGTGCTATTTAGTGCCATCAGATCGGGGAATGTGTGATGTTTTGGAATATTCAGAGTTATCCAAAGCAAAGTGCCTGAAAGGAGGACCAAGTCAAGCTAAGGGAAGTGATTTGATTGCATATCTGTAGTGCAAACTGAGCATAATGGTGATTTTATTGTTACAATAAATATTAAAATAATTTGTGAGATAAAATTGCAATTTAGCAGGGTTATCCATACAGTTACTATACAAAATGTGTTAACTTATTGTGCTGGGTCAAAGAAAATGTAAGGTTAGGCATGTCTCCTTGGGAATCTCCTTCACAAACTGGTCTCTCAGTTCTGTATGATATTTGGCCAACATGCAAAAATTCTGGGAATTGAGGTTCTGAAAGCCACTTCTGAAAGACCAGAGGTTCCCTATATTCAGTCTATACCAGTGGTTCTCAACCTGTGGGTCGGGACCCCATTTGGGGTCGAACGACCATTTCACGGGGGTCGCCAAACAACGCAGTCCGCCATTTTTCCCCCCTTTTCCTTAGCTGTGCTACTCCCTTTTATTCTATTGGCTTTTGAAAGCCAATAGAATAGACTCTCTTGAATAGAGTCTAATTCTATTGGCTTTCAAAAGCCAATAGGAATTGTCCAGGCTGTCTCTGCCCTGCTGAGCCCGCCAAAAGTCCCATTCTGCAAACGGTGCTGCACCAGTTGAGTAGTCCTCGACTTACAAACGGTTGAGTAGTCCTCGACTTACGACCAGTTGGGGGTCACGGCATTAAAAAGGTTGAGAACCACTGGTCTATACAGTCTTTAATACCAATCAACATATGGAGATTCCTTGATGCTAGACCAAATTATCTCTGAAAAGAGATAGGCTGAACTAAATATATTTGGTTTTAGATGTGAGAAAAATAGCAATTTTATATAAAGTATTTGTTAGCATTAATATTTATCAATACAGTTAATATGGGTGTATGTTTTGGGATTTTATTCTACTGACCTTATAGTCTAAATGCATGAACTTTTTTTTTCTTTTCCCTATTTCCTTGCCTGTTTAAAAGTTTTGGAGAAATCAAAATCAAAATGCTTTTTAAGTCATTTTTTTTTTTTTTTTTTTTGGTTGATGCTAATAAGTTCTCATCTCATTGCAGATTTTGGCTTTTTCCCCATGGATCATTACAATCGTGATTTTTTTCTCTTTTTTTCCTCTTTCTATCTTTCCCTCCTTTCCTCCCAGGCTGAAGCCTTTTATTTTTTTCAAAAGCATTGTCCACCTTCTTACATGTCTTTTTCAGAGAATCACAGTGTGAAAGCAAATATATAATACAATAACCACAACTAGCTAAAACATTTGAAAGTTGCAAAGGAATGGTTTTTGCACTGTTTGCAGCTTCAGCAAATGAGCAATTTACACACACCACCTAGGCGGACTGCTCGCTGGCAGCAGAAGCGATGTGTAATTATTTTTATTATACAGATAAATACTAATAAATCTGTGACTGGTGCCTGCCTGAAGATAGGAAGAGAAGCTGCTGGCCGATGTAGTCTTTGTTTAAGGTTGTTTTAAAGTCACGGTACTTAGCTCTTCAAAGAATGATGTCAGCAATGAAAGAAATACCTTCCTTTTTCAGTTGATTTCATAGGTGGATTTGACTCTTACGGCTATCAAGGCCCACAGAAGACGTCGCATTTACAGCTACAACCAATGTATTTGTAAGTATCTACATTTATGTTTTTCAGTGGAATGCTGGAGACATACTAAAAAGCTAAAGAAAAATTACTTATTGTAATTCAAAGAAAATTATTCAGTGATACCTGAATAATGTTAGTTCACAATATACTCACAATAAATTGTTACTTTTCTAGTATGCAACATTTTGTCCTTTGGCTTGGCATAAAAGCACTGAAAGGTAGAATATAATGGTGACAGATTTGTTAGGCGAGTCAAACTTTGATTGTCATTAATCAAATCTGCTTCATCAGGAAGAAATTAATGTGGCCATTGTACTGAAATCAACTGGCCTTCTTTATGGACAATCAGCTTACTACATTGTGTGAAGTGTTCTCCATTCCCTGCTCCTACTGTTGAGTTCAGCTTGTCCATATAGTGGTTGGAGAACATATGAATATGCATTTGTATGCAAGAGGATGTGACTGTTTTGTGGTTCTGATAATGCAACAATCTCCTAAGTTTAGGGGCTGAGTCAGTTTTATTGAAAGCAGCAGGCTGAGGAAGATCCAAGCCTTGAACAGTTTTCTGCAAAGCTGGCTGAGGAATTCTGGGAGTTGAAGTCCACAAGTCTTAAAGTTGCCAAGGTTGAGAACCCCTGACCTAGGGAATCCCAGATTTTAGGGGCATTGAATACAGTATCTCTGTGCCCAGTGGTGGGATTCTAATATGTGAACAACTGGTTCCTATGTGGATGCCTCTTCCGGAAGTCTATTCTGGGCCTGGGCAACAAAAAATTAGCTACCAGTTCTGCCAAAGTGGTGCAAACCAGCTGAATCCCACCACTGTCTGTGCCGTTTCGTTTCAGTATACAATGTTAGCATGGAATTGGTCTGCCTATTTAATAAGCTGCTTTCCAAAGATTAAATACTACATGTGACTTTTTCTTAATGTTTTCAGCAGCTTCTGTGTGGGTAGTCGTGAGAGCCGCAAACAGCAGCACATGGTCCTATCATGGCTGTGGCTGGGAAATTCTGTGGCTTTATCATAAAGTTTTTCAATTGCATGTGCCCAGAATAATGTTTTACTCTCTCCTCTTTTGTTGTTGTTGAAATGTTATACAAGTCCTCATTCGTTTAGTGACCGTTCAAAGTTACAACGGCACTTTAAAAAGTGACTTATGACCATTTTTCACACTTACAATTGTAGCAGCAACCTCATGGTCACATGATCAAAATTCAGATGCTTGGCAATTGGTTCATATTTAGGACAGTTGCAGTGCTCCCGGGTCATGTGATCACCTCTTGCAACTTCTGACAAGCAAAGTCAATGGGATAGCCAGATGCACTTAACAATCTTGTTACTAATTTGTGATTCACTTAACAAAAAGATAAGAAAGGTCATAAAATGGGGCAAAACTCATTTAACAACTGTCTCACTTAGCAACAAAAATGTTGGGCTCGATTGCAGTCTTAAGTTGAGGACTACCGTTACACCTAACAAAACTCTACTCTGATTGTATTTCTTCTTTTAGGTAGTATAACTTGCCATGAACAGATGGAGCCTCCCAGCTGAGAGATTGTTCCATTCTTTTTATGTTCTCTGCTTAGAGAGTAGCTGTTTGTATTTACAGAGCTTATTAAGCCTTGCTGGAAAAAACATGAATCTGTAGGGCTGGAGGAGCCAACATAAATTTTGAAATGTATAGCTGAGACAGGGAGCACAGAAAGAACATTTCAAACTCTGTTTCATTTTTAAACTGCTTTCTCATTGACGGTGTTGGTAAATTCAGCATAATATTTCTAGTAAAGCAACAGAAGACATGTTGTCACAGTCTGGCAAATTCTTACAAGCCAACTGACATTGAGAAGAAGCAGGTAGTCCAGCTCTCTTGTTTCTGCAGAACTTCCTGATATAAACGAGGACCTTTCTTCTCAAAAAAGCAAATTTGCTTCAAATAAATTGGAAGATTTATAGTTGATGTGCTCTGATACAGCAGCTATCTACATAGTGAAATTTGTACCATCTCACCCATCACATGCCACCACAGCTCCTATTTTCTCAAATATTCAATATTCAATATCCTTTTCTAAAGTAAATGGATTCACACCATATGATGTGTATTTTGACTAGTGCAATGTGTAAACTCAGTCACTGCTGCTGTAAACCATTGTTTATGGGTTAGTGTCATGTAAATCCATCTGCCTCTTATTCAGCAAACCAGGATTTTAAAATGATAATTATATAAACCATGGTTTAAAACAAACATAGCAATGACTGCAACATGTTTCTGGGCTATTTTGTTGTGATATATTGTCTAACAAAAATTATCTGTCTCCTATTCCATATCTATGTTATTTTTTTTCTCCACAACGTAAGAGTTTGATGAGAAATGACTATCTAGTAGTAGTTTAGTAGAAGTAATAATCCTGGGATTAGGAAGACCAAGAAAGGATATCATGTTTCAGATGATGGGTGCTTTTGGATACTCAGTTTATGTTAATCCTATACATTTGTCAACATTTCAGAAAGTAAAAAAAAGTGCTACGTGTTACTGGTCACGGAGTTGTGGTGCCTCAGGCTTAGTACCTTTTCTTGACAGATTAACCTCCCATCCACTTGCTCCACATGTAGTCTATAATTTTACTTATACTAAGCAGGATCACTTGCCTCTTTTATTCCTCTCTTTTACTCCTCAAGTTTTACTTTATTTTGCAAAACAAAGTGGTAATAGTCCTGTCCAGTACCTTCATTCCTCTAGAAGGTCTCTAAAGGACACAAGGCAAGGAAGGACTAAAACTGCTGAGGCTAGGGACTACCTTAGCTGTTGAACCATCTGTGCTTGGTGATCCAGCTTAAACAAAATCACTGTTAGTGAATAATGTAGGTAGGTCATCTCTAATTCTAATGGTCCAAAAAGACATCATAAATTATTTGCCTCCAATAATTAGTAAAAACCCTCAAAAGTATGTTATTTCTTTTTTCTCCTAATCATCTATTAAGGGAGAAGAGAAAGAATAGGGGAAGGGCAGAGAAGATTTAGAGAGAACTAGAAGTGCTTGGAAATTGTTTTCCTTTCATTTATTAAGAGGCTGAGGCTTCTGCTTCAGTTGACACAGTCAAGCACATCTTAAGCAAAATTCTCTTATGTCCTGATTTATGATAAATAAGCGGTCTAAATGTAGCGTAATAAATATAAATAACCAACCTGAATATAACATAGAATACTGCAGTGATTATATTCTGTGAGGCTTTGGCATGTCAACAAGAAAGCAAAACTTTGGCTTTGTTTCTGATTCTCAGAAATGGATTTTTATCAATAGATTAAAAATTAGTGCCAACTAAAGTTTGAGTTATGTAATAGAAAATATACTCTATGAATCTAGGAAATCCTTACAGAAGAGATACAGTTGAGTTGACAGAAAAGAGGTGGGAAAGAAAGGAAAGGAAAGGAAAGGAATCAGATGCTGGTTGTATTGGAAGAATTGCTCAATAATAGCTCGCCACTATTGAAGGTTTTGGTATATAATTGTGTGAGGTATTCCAGTCATGCATGTTCTCTCATCTATATGGAGCCACAAACCCAATAGCATATAATTTACTTCATTAAGTGAATCCTTTAGAGTTTAGATGAAGGAAGTTTAGATCCTATGAACCATCTAAACCATATTGGGATTCACTCACTGGGATCAGTGAAGATTTAGACCTTTTACATTAATTCGATCATTTGTAATCTATGGAATGTATTTATGCATGTATTATTAAACTTTTTATGCTGCCCAAATTCCAAAGCCTTTAAAGACTGCATTGCCCTACTGCATTTTGCTATCACATTTCCCTGTCTTCATTTTGCTGTGCTTCTTCTCTAAACTAGAAGAGAAAGCTTTAGAGTGTCATTGTTTTGATTATAATCCACTATGTCCCTAAGAGCCAAAACAAATGCCACTTGTATCATATCCCCTTCTATAGTTCAGTGAGATTTGATCCTATTGTTCCATTGAGAAACAGATAATAGTTATCACCTTATCACTCACAGTGCCCAGATAACATGAAGAAAATAGAGACAACTCTAACTGCTATGTGCTGATTATAAAATGGAATCAAAAATCTAAGGCCATCTAAACAGTGTTGAAATAGAATTCCAGCTGCTTTCACCTTTGGTCCTATGGAGGAGTTTCTGCTAAGACTTGTAAATTGGGAAGTAAATACTAGATTTAGAGAAATTCTTAACTCTTATGATTCCCTCTCCCCTTAACAGGAAAATGCCTCTAGAAAAGCCAATCAACTATTAAATAGAAGCATGAAATGGAAAAAGACCACAGTCTCAGGGACCCTCTCCCATCTCTTCAGCTTTCAGATTGTTGCAATTGGTTATACTGGTAGGAAAATGTTAAGGTGAATAATGTATGCAATAGTATACATGTGTATCATATATCATGTAGTGATACACTACCAAGAATATCGGGTGTTATTCATATAGAAAAGACAATTGGACTTCCAGGGTCAAGCCAAAATACCTGTTTATTATTTCAGTTAACTTTGAATTGTTCTAATATTCTATAATAATAACTGGTGTGGCATTTTTTTGTTTTGTACTGAGTTTAATTGTAGTTTAAATAAAAACTTTCAAGTAGATGCAAAAATGGACTAAGGATAATTTTGGAGAAGGACCATGAACTAGGCTCATGCTGCTGCTCAAAGGGAACTGATGAGGTATAAATTATATTTGTGACAAAAAAATACCTTCTTTTTCTCTTTCTTTCTAGGTCTAAGTAGACACAAGCTAAATCTGTCCTGGGGATGAAAGACTGGACAAAGATCTACTTCTTGCACAGCCTCCTGCAGGTTGCGGAAGAATGAAAGAAGACCTAACTTTTCTGTTTCAATATATAATAGAACACTCAGAGACAAGGGCCTCTCTGTCTAGCTAGTACTGGCAGAAGTGCACAAGATCCAGTCCCTCCCAACTTTGATTTTACAAGTTCCTCACAGAAGGTTTAAAAAAAAAAACAGTGGTGCCATCTCCTGGGCACTATCTACCTTCTGCACCTGCCTCTGATTTATGAAACAATCTCATGTCTTTTAACTATTTGAGGCTCTTTTGTACTCTGTCTGGAGCCATGTCTTCTTAGTCCATACAGATTAAAGATCTTTAGATAAAGTTGAAGCTGAAGTCAGTAGACAGGAAGTTGTTTGCCCTAAAGGCTGTTTAATATATGCTTGCCTTAACCCATCCTGAGTCACACACTGAGAACTTTGATGAGAACTCTCTGAAATCACTTCCTTTAGGATCAGTCATACTGTTCATGAATTCTAAACAAAAGTTATAAAGCTGTGTCAGGTAATAGACAACGCTCCCACCTTTCTGGAGATGACTGTACTAAAAAAATAATCTATCAGAAAAAAGTGCTTTATGATTAAGCTTCCAGAATACTTGGTTTCAAATTACCTGCATGTATTTTAAAAGAACTGGACACTTTGGGAGCTGGGAAAAGCCAGGAAAAAGAATTTTTACTAAACAATAACTAAAGAAAGCGCAAACTCAGTGCTCCTTAACCCCACTGTTTTAGTGAATGCACTCTAGGTGCTTTTATAAATGATTCTAACCTACGTCTTTTACTAATAACAGAGATATCTGCATATTTCTTATCAACAGAGGCCAACTGCATAAGTATTAACAATGTTTACTCTTTTATAACTAATTCCAGTTGAAAACCTTATGTAAGTGAACTTTTTTTAAAAAAACAACAACAACCCTGAAAACCTGCAGCATATAAGATCTTTCTGGATTTTGTTCTTTTTTGTTTTTAATTTGGGGTGGGAGTAGTTGCCTTGGTGAGATTTTTGAAAACCTTTTTTGTGGTACTGGGGAAACTATTGTGTGTTAGAATGTGTATCTTATCTTCCTGTATTTTTGTGGCTAAAAAAACCTGTGCTGTTATGTAGTTGGCAACAAGATGCCTTTGGAAACTTTACTAGTAGGTCAATGTCTATGAAATACTCTTGACTCCTAGAAGCGTCTGTATTCTGAATTTGAGCTGTATATTCAACTACTGCAGTGGCTTTTCTTTGGGAAGAGTTATATTGCTCAGGCTTTTTTTAAACTTGAATTGCCCTAATTTCTTTATTTAAAAACCAACAAATACATCAGCCTTAGGCACTTGCTGGGTTAGGGTCTTCTTAGCCCAAAATAACTTTTGTCTGCACTTGCCAAATGTTTCAATTCTATATAGTCTAGATATCCACCATGTAGTAACTCTCAATGCAAGTTCCTTAGAATAAGACAGTTCATCTTTTACCCATTATCACCAGTGCATACATACCAGTATATTTACAAAAATGCCACCTGAATGACAACAGAACAGATATTTCTAACAGAAAAAAAACACTAGTTGGTTCCAGCAATAAATGTCACATCAGTAACAGCGATATGAATGGAACATTACATCGACCTATAATACAATAATGAAATGTATATAAAATAGTGGTTAGTACTTGAAAATTCCAAGAAATATATAACTTATAATTAAGTCTCTGCCTGGTTATATCAATACCAGTGGTAATAAGGATAGTATATGTACTGTCACTTTAGTTACAGCTTCTAAAGATGCTCTCAATTTTAATGGTTGTTTGCAGTTTCATTATTTTTGGTCAGGATCAAGAGCCACAATTCTTTTTTTTTTATTGAAAGTTTTTAAATTTTACAAAACAAATCCCTTCCCCAAACCCCCACCCTCCCATACCCTCCCTCAACCTTCCCAGAGCTGAGTACAGGCTTAATTAAAATTTTCAAAGAAAATAAAAAATAGAAAAAAAACTTAAAACACATATAAATCCTAAACAAATCTAAATACCTTAAATTAAACAAATTATCTTCTCTAAAACATAATAGTTGCAAACATTAAACACACATTATAATATACTTTTAACATTTTCTAGTATTGTACTTATATTATTATCCATCATTCTATATAGAATCCCCAAAACACAAATTTAAACATTACTTTCTTTAAATATCCATACCTACAATATAAGATCTAATCTCCCTCTTTCTTTACTCTAGAGCACAAAAATAAGCATATAAACATTCATTATACCATTAAGACTGGATACTCTTTTGAATAGTTAAACTAAATACTTATATTTAAACTTCTTATCTAAAATTTTCATTCAATCTCCATAATCTTCTCTCCTATCAAGAAAAGAAAAAACTTAAAAAACATATAAATCCTAAACAAATCTAAATACGTTTAATTAAACAAATTAGCTTCTCTTAAAAATAATAATAATAGTAGATCCCATAAACATAACTTAAAACATTAAAATTCCCTTATACCTGTTTAAATCTTTACCAATAACAAATTCCTCCACAGTAAACACATTCCTTCTCTTATCCATAAACCTCTTAAAGGTAATTCCAAAAAGTTTGTAAATCTTAATTCTCCCGCAATCAAATCTAAATACGTTTAATTAAACAAATTAGCTTCTCTTAAAAATAATAATAATAGTAGATCCCATAAACATAACTTAAAACATTAAAATTCCCTTATACCTGTTTAAATCTTTACCAATAACAAATTCCTCCACAGTAAACACATTCCTTCTCTTATCCATAAACCTCTTAAAGGTAATTCCAAAAAGTTTGTAAATCTTAGTTCTCCCGCAATCTCAATAGTCTTCTAAATACTTAAACTAAATACTTAAACTTAAACTTCTTATCTAAAATTTTCATTCGATCTCCATAATCTTCTCTCCAATAGCCAGTTCCATCCACTGTAAACACAATCCTTATCAGTCTCTCTTGTCCATAAATCTCGAAAGAAGTACTTTAAAATCTGCCCTTAAAGGTAGCTCCAAAAAATTTGTAAGTCCTGGTTCTCCCACAAACTCAGGAACCAATACTTGTGAGGCTTCCTTAACCTCCTTCTTCTGTTGGTCTTTCTCTTTACGTTTATATGTTGCACAAGTTGTCCTCTGCTCTTTCATCTCGACTTGTTGAGGCCCCTCAAATTGAAATTTCCCATTTTTAATTAATATAGGCTCTTCACACTGCAATTCTGCCCTTAAAGGTTCCTCCAAAAAGTTTATAAATCCTACTTCTCCCGCAGATTCAGGAACCAATACTTGTGAAACTTCCTTGACCTTCTTCTGTTGATCCTTTTCTTTACAATTGTATGTTACGCCGGTTGTCTTCTGCTCCTCCATCTCTACTTGTTGAGGCCCCTCAAACTGAAGTTTCCCAATTTTTATAAGTGTAAGCACTTCAGATTGCAATTCTGCCTTTTTATCTTCCAAAGCTTTAAACGTGATAGGTGGCGATGAGCATACCCCCAGGACCGAAGTATAAAAGTCTTTTGCTTTAGAAACAGTATTAAGACTATAACGTATCCCCAGGTAATTCACCACCATTCCAGTCGGAACATCCCATCTAAACAAAATTTGTCTCTTTTTAAGTTCGTCTGCTAAAAAAGCAAACTCCTTTCTTCTTCTTAAAATTTTAGATGGGATCTCCTTTAAAATTATAACATTTTGTGAAGCAATTTGAAACCTCTTCTTATAAAAAGCTTGTATAATTTCATTGCGCAGGGATCTTTTCCCAAAGTAAATTACCACATCTCTTGGCAAATTCTTTTGCTCTGCCACCACAGAGTTAACTCTAAATGTCTGTTCAATTTCACTAAGTATTTCCTCTTTTTCTCTATTCAAAATCACAGCAAAGTCCTTTGCAACCATCTCTCTCAGATCTCCTTGCACAGACTCACCCAAACCTCTGATTCTTAAAGCATATTCCATTTGTTTATATTGAAGCATAAGAATCTCATCTTGAAAATTTTTCATCTCTTTTTCCATACTTTCAAATTTTTCCTCCATCAATTCCACTTTTTCTACTACTTCTTCTACGCGAGAATTCAACTTTTCAAAAACAGAGGCAACTCCTTTTAAAGCCAAAACTATCTCTTGCCTCAAAGCCTTATTGTTTTCCTCTAGAATCTCTTTCATTTCTCCCCTAATTTGAAGTATAACATCTCCCATCATATCTTGCAAATCCTTCACCATTGTTGACTGTGGCAAAGAAGAAGATGAGGCTATTAATTTAGGTTGTTGCACTGATGATGACACCGAAGAAGAAGCCACTTTAGAAGCTGTAGGGATTACTGGACGCTTTGGAGCCATCTTAAAAAAATCTTTATTCCTTCTTAGAAATTGCAAAAATTAAACAAAGGAAAAAAAGAGTTAACTCCATAAAATCAAAAAAAAAATCCTTCAAGAGGAGATCATTATAATAAAAAAAGGAGTTCAAAAAAAAGAAAAGAGAGAAAGAAAAAAGAATAATTAAATAGAAAAAATCCATTCCATTTTTTTAAAAATACAAAAAGTACAAAAAACAAACTAAAAAAGTACAAAAATAATAATACTAACACTCCATTCCAATCATTAAAAAAAAACAAAAAAAGGAAAAGGGAAAGGGAAAAAAGAAACCCCAAAATGCCTGCCGGTCACCATTCTACCTTCCGGAAAAAAAACACCGAAAGGCTTGCCGATCGCCATTTTACTTTCCCTTTCAACAAAGGAAAAAAAATAAAAAGAGGGAATATAAAAGTAAAAATAAATCTTTGAACTTAAAATCCAAATAAAATCAAAGAAAGCAAAAACTAAATCCTCTACTCAGCTCTGTCCGCTTCTAAAAAAAACTCACCAGTTAACTTTAATCGCGGAGGTGGTTGCAGCGGCTTGTTTTTGTCCCTAGGGACAAAAGCAGCTGGGAAGCGGAGACAGTCTGAACTCCGTGGGAGCACTCTTTTCACCCCCCCAAAAAAAACTTTGGGGGTGCATAAGAGGCTCTACCACTATTCAGACACCTCTCTACCCCCCCCTTTGCCCAGGAGGGGGTTTTTGAACCGCTGAACAGCTGATGTCCGCTGTTCATAGTGATTCAAACACTCACCCAGGAGGACGGCTACAAAGTAGCCGCCATCGCGCGCGCAAATCCACCGGAAGTCAAGAACCACAATTCTTGTAGGCCTGAAATTCATTTATTGCCAGTGATATTAGTCTGGAGTATGATATACGATATATGGATTGTCTCCCTAACCTTGTTTTTTAATTATCCTTTTTATTAACCTTAATAGCAATTTAAAAAATGGCTGTGGAGTAAATAGCATAAAGTCATGAAAAATATGTTTCCATTCAAATCAGTGAAGCAGTAGGGTTGATGAAATGATCTGTCACTAATATTCTACACCCGATAAAATAGGATAAAGTATTTTTAAAAGTAGATTTGTAGGTTCTAGAAAAGAAGTTTAGACATCTTAAAATGCTGACTGTCCTATATCTCAAAATCTTATTAAGAAGAAGTAAGGGTCCATTGCATAATTTATGCATTAGTTCACTTTTACTGAACACTTTATAACCTAATTCTTTTAATATTAAAATTAGGTGCATAGTTTTGCCCTAGGATGTAAACATATAAGTGGAAAAAGACAATGGGATAACCACTTCTGCATTGTTGTCAAGAGAACTCCATGTTTGTGAACTCACCAGCAGTGAGAGACATTACTATTTATAATAATAAATAAATAAATAAAACCATACAGTACATCATACAAGCTGGGGACTAATGAAATTTTGCTTGCTGTCAATCCTCATGAAGCAACCATTGTAATTCTTCTAGTTTAGAATTATTGAGTACAAACTAAACACGTTTGACCAATTCCTGCTTTGTGCCACATTCCAAATTAAGGCATTCCTGTACCTCTATGTCAAATGTTTACTTTGATACAGTGAAGGAAACAGTCATTTCCCTGTTACTTAATATAATAACAATCATATAGATATATCATGATTTATGCATTCCCCCCCATAAGGAGAAGCAAATGCATCTAGTATAGGGCATAAGTGAATAAGAAGAAGATGGAACACTCCCATATATTCTGTGTGTTTATGCATTTTTGGGCCTGTGGCCATATTTGTGTCCATGTAAAGAATCAAGACTCTCCATAAATAGCATGGAAAGTATTGCAGACCTAACTATAACCAGCTATACTAGACTTCTTTGTCAAAAATGATTTTGAGCATCAGCATAGTAACTGTAGACGATGGTGTAAGTAGCAAAGCAGAACTGTAGATGGTAAATATAAGTTGCAGAGCAGATGGCAGGAAGAAAAACAGGTTTTTGTGTTCGGATGAGGCCTGTTGATCCAGGAAGAGGCTAGAAAGTACATCTGAATAAGACCAGAGAATTTTGAGGCAATGAGAATTCTAAATTTAAATAAAACATTGTTCGCTATATAGAAATACATCCACACAAACCTGTATACATTAAACACATGGACAGATATGGGACCAGGCATTTATTTTCATTCTTGTGCAACAAAATCTGTTATCATTCCAAAAGAATTATTACAACAGTGACTGAATTGCAGATCCACTATGGAACAAATTTAAGAGCACAGTACTGTTGAATTATACAGCTGTATCTTCTTCAAAATCCAATGAAGTATGTTATTTTTCTAGACTGGGCTTTCTGTTATTGTTATAAATCCAAATATTCAAAAGGCAAGTGTTAACAATCCAAATGTCTCTCTCATTTTTTTTCTTAGAGTCATTTGTTAATTCTGAATGTATTTTTAACAAAAGGTGACCTTTTTTGACTAACTAGTGTAATTTGCATTTTAAAAAATAAATGGTAAAAAATATAGATTTCTCAGTTTTTATGGATACTTTTCACAGCTTC